CTTCTTTGACACCTTAAAAGTTTCAGATGGACTAGGTTGTCTTTGAGGTTTCATAGGAAACATTATCTGGCATAAAGCAAGGGATAAAGCTTCCTGAAACAAAAAGGAAAATAGTATTAAATTTAACAGTCTGTCACTGTCATGAAAGTAGTCTAATTAAAAAAGCTTAAACTTTGAGAGGGGGGAAACAAAATAGAGAAGTGTGGTAGAATTCTTTTTAATATAAAAAAACAAACCCTGTAGTTTGGATCAGTTCATTGTCCATTCAGCGAGTGCAAATTCCCCAAAACTTCCTAGGCACAGTCAGCTATTTCATATGTTCAGCCAAACATAGTATGGCTGCTAGATTAGAAACTCTAAAATAAATCAGAATTTGTATATGCCTTATTTTAAATCTTTCCTTGTTCAGTAGTTTAACTTTTAAGCCCTAGCAGTGTAGATGAAGCCCTCAGTCCAAACCAATATACAGTACTGATCAAAGCAGCCATTGGTGATAACGTTACATTTTATTGCAGAGCTAATTATATATAATGAAAGGTCTCCACAAATCAGTCTGAGTGCAACTGCATTTTGAGATTCACCATTGTCATTTGCTCTTAAGTTTTTACTCTATAAAAAAGGCCCTTTTCAAGGCTGACAGGACCAAAACTTGACGTACACTTTTTTCCTCTCTGCAGCACCTGAGTATTCATGAGCAACCACTCAGTAATTCTGAACGTGTGATGAAAGAAAATAACATTTGGTAAGAAAATATTTAAATTCCAAGCTTCCAAATGAATTTTGTATTCTGTAATGGAGGACAGGGTGATTGAAAAGATAAATTGTTTATAAAACTATGAAAGAGACATCAGTGAGGTTTTCTTAAATTTGTCAGCAGTGATTATCAGCTAATAGATACAATTATTGATTGATATAAGATAGTATTCTTACGCTGTCAAAGACTCATGGCCTTTCTTATTGTGGACAGTTTTTATGGATCTCCAGGCATCTTATCACTAACAATCTACAGCAGCCAAGCTTTTGGGCAAAGCAAGCAGAGCTAAGTTATGTAACATTCTTTAATGCAGGTGTTTTGCCGGTGCCATTTTTTATTTGGCATAATAGAATATAGATGTAGATAGATACTTTACAAACATATTTACATGTTTTATGCCCAAATGGGCTTTCAGTGCTCTTAAGTGCAAGTTCTTTTAAATTGGCAACCAACAAACTTGCATGCAGTCTTCAAAACTTCTGAACATTATGGGCCTGCTTCAGCTCTTATTAAATAAATGGAGAGAGACTTCCAATTGAATTTAGTTAACTTTAGATCTCTAATGTAATCAATATAAATAACAAATGGGAATGATTAATTACTATTTTAAGATACATCTATTAAAATAACTTTTTAGTAACTTACTCTTATTTACATTTCTTCCCAAAGCATTCATTGGGCAGCATTTTCCCCTTGTACAAAGCTCAATTTTATGGCATGTTAGTAAAATACTGTAGACTCCTGAGTTTGAGCTCTCTAAAATGATGCATGAAATAACATGAGTATCCAGACAGACTAGTAGTGATATTTTAATAGACATTGTGATGAAAGAATTAAAGTTGAAGTCTGATTATTTTAGAAATGTTATGCATGGAAGAGACTTGTAAAATTATTAAATTCAGGGCATGTGCAAATTATAGCTATATTTTATAATTAAGAATGATTGTTGAACAAAGACTTGTTGGTTTTACTATCAGATTACTTACAAATATGTGCTCTCTTTCTTGATTTATCTACTTTAAATTGTTACAGGCAATGCTGAATTGTGGTTTTAAATAAAAATGCAATTTTTATTTATAGTAAAGGTTATGGCTGTGGGCAATTATCATTAACTAGTACGAGTAAAAACCATTTATTTGCAGACTACAGGACTTTTTTTTTATTTTTTTTTTTTTTTGGCAAGTAAACTTGACAAGTGATTTAAGGTTTTGTGACCTAAGTATTCTTGTTTTGAATGCTATATGATAACTTTGTTTTTAAAACGTAATCTTAGCAGTTCTTTCCATGCTACATATTGATTTAAACATTCTTAATTATAATATATTTTTGGGTTTTTAATGGTTATATAAAAATCTGTTTTTCAGTCTGTAAACATAAAATTACATATAATGAAATACAAAGAAATTATGGTGGCTGAGTCTCAATTCTCTTACTATGGAAAAATTAAAGAAAAAGTTGCCCAGAGTTCTGACTACACAAAGGCCATAGGCTCAACCGCACGTAACAAAATAAAAATCATGGGAATAAATCTCATTTAAAAAATCCCTATTTTCTAAGAGCATTTTAGATTGTGACAGAGTGGAAATAAAAGTGAAGGTTGCTATTTCTTCTCGCTATCCATTGATATTGCAAAGGATTGAGGTGATGACAGAACAGTACTGTACTTTATTCAAATGCATTGGCACAAGAATAAACCAAAGTACATGGTCACGCTTAGTTGTAATTTCCTTACTTTTATTGTTTTGTTGCATTCTTAGTGATACCCAGCACAGAAAGATGCTTAAATGTAAACCTATTGTGGTTGTTTACAGTAGTGTTTTTAAATTCATATTTATTGCCAGTTAATTTGAATTAGTTAACTTGTTTATACGTATTAGTCCAAATGCTCCACAAACCTCTGTCTCCCACAACAGACTTGTTTTTGGCTCAGCCTGAGCTGAGCTGAGCCCTTTGGTAAACCACAAACATATATGTAAGAAAATAATATTTGTATCAGAGGTATTGTGCCATTGGATAGGTTCTGATGATTGTCCGGTATTGTTAGTGAGAAAAAATGTTAGTGTAATATTTAGAAAAATATGAAAATAGCAATTATAGTTAACAGTATGTTACAGTTATTAACAACTTGATATCCTTTTGGGACACATCAAACTGACTGAATTAACCAGAATTGAGGAAGAAAAATGTTAAAATGTTTATTGACAAACTTGGGGCTTTTTTCCCTGTGACTGTTTTTTTTTTCTTTGCTTGTTTTTACTCTTGTTTTGCAGTCTAAAAACAGAGCCATGTCTTGCAAACATGATTCTGTATATAGTATTTAACTTTATGTAGAACGGAAGTCCCATTGAAGCCAATGGATCTGTTCATGGGTTAGATATAGGGATACACTTTTGCCTTTAAACATCTCAACAACAAAAAAGAGTTTGTGGCATCCATTATATTGGTTAATTAGAAGAAGTAGGCAGTAATCTTTTTGCTATTTAACCAATATGTGACCTTGGGCATGTCGCTTATTACTTTTTACAAGTGTGGAATATCTATCACAAGATAAATTGATTTTTAAATCAAGTGGAAAATCTACATTTAAATAATCTATCTGTAATCAACTTCTCCATTTGTACTTGAGCTATTTTTTTTAAAATTGCATTATCTTAGATTGATATAACCCTCAAATCTTGTTAAATAGAGCCTTTACACTAGACATGGTACATGTTTTTTGCTACACTATAACTGTATAAGCAATTATTCAAATTAATTTCATATTCTTAATAGCTGTACATTTTAAGTGAGAAAATGATGAATGATCTTGCTTATTTACTAGATAATTAACTTTTTGCTCATGATTTGTGTCAAACTGCATTAGGATAGTAACTGAAATTTAAACAAATCCATCAGCATATAAAGTTTAAACTGCTCAAACTTAAATGTTTTAAATATATACGATTTAAATATATATGATTTTCATCAACACGTTTCATATTTACAATTTTAATGATTTATTAAAGAGGAATTAACTATGGTCAGGACAGCATTGAAAAGTTTTTAATATGTGCTTAAGTGAAAGAGACTGGCACTTAAGATCCTACTCACCTGAATCCTGATGAAAATGAGACACTCTTACATTATTTCGGTTGACTTATTGTTCCATATTTAGAAAGCTTGTCCTCAAAAGTTAGCTATTTTTTCTTTAAATCTTCCTTTATATGATAGTCTTGATAGAGGGTCATATATTCAGAACTTTTTAATTAAATTTTTAAGTCGAGTTTATGCCTTACTACATTGTGTATAACATTCAGATTTCTTTTAAAGGTGTTAATTTACATATATATAAACAAAATTAAAATCAAATTAAAAATATAAAATTATTTTTTAAAAAAATCACATTTTTCCACCCTGACTATAACTCTCAATGGAAGCTGATGGTGCTTAATGACCAATATTTTAAAAAATGGCTGATGAATCTGGGTGCCCAGTTTGAGACCTTAGGGTTGACTTTTTTGAAAAGTGATGAAAATCAGGCCTCTGTAAATTGTATTAAGATGGGCACCCAAAACTCAAGCAACTCTAACAGTCTTAAATCTTAACCTCCATGTGACAGAACTGGCAAACAGTATATCTATCTCATAGAAATACTACACTAGTTTGTGTAGTACTTCGAGAGTCTTCGTTCTGTCCACTCCCTTTCTTGTTCCCTCTGCTGATTTTGTACAGCCTACCTTTGTCCATTCCCGAAATGTTGCCACTGTCCATCAAGAGCCTTCTCTGTAACTGCTGGCATATGCAACAGCCTTCCTGCATCTCTTACCTCATTCGCTCACAGTCTATATTTGAAATATTCTTTTCTCACCTTTCTCTCCACCTTTACTTTAATTATTTTACTATTTTAAGCAATCAAGGATACAATTTTATGAAAGCAGCTGTGTACAAAATAAAATAGGGTGACGGAGGAAATGAATTCACAAGTGGCATATACCTTAAGACTTCAGTTGGAGTTTTCTGTGTAGCATTAATTCTCTTCCCATGTGCACCCTTTATAGTCCATTTTCCAAGATACCAGAAAACTTCTCAGCTAGAGGGACTCTGATCCAAAGCTCAGAGTGGGAGGTAATTTGGGAAACATAGACTTCCTTCTCCCAGTGGGCACTGATACCCAGAATTCTCACTACAACTGTAGTAGCAGTACTCAAACTTACCTCAAGATCAGACTTGGTTAAACACCTCAGTTAAATTAAGTGTAAAGAAGTACTGCATGTCAAGTGAAAAAGGAAGGCCAAACTGATCCTGTGAAGCCTGGGAGTTTTAATATGGACTACTGAACTATCACATCTGACTTTGGTGAACAAGTGTTTCTAATCTTTGTACTAATATTATTAAGGAGAGCAGGAGTTTGTCTATTGATAAATTTAATACTCGATAAAGATTACAGTGTCTGTAGTGTGTATAATTTATTGTCTATTGGGGAAAAAGAAAGAAGGCTTTTGCAAACTAGAGCTCAGGGGGAAAACATAACTGCAGAAAAATACACTTTGCAAAGACCACTAAGGAACCAGTACACATGTAGAAAGCATTGGGATAACAAAAGTTTGCTGTTGTATGACATTGAAATGCTTTTTATTCTTAGTTGGAGAAGTGAATTGGTTTGGATTTTTTACAGTTTTTCAGTAAAATAACTATTTAATAGATTGTATTTTGCACTTGTACAGTGAATTCTGCTTTTTTTTCATTTCCCTTATTCCCTCCACAACTACAAAACCAATATATTTGAGATGTCTGAAGAGTGCTCATACTTGTCTGGGACACATGTCCAGTATTTTATGATGATATTGTTAATGGTAATTTTGTATAAGCATGTTTATATTTGTGTACTTCAAGAAAAAATGTAGAGGGTGAAGTTTAATGTTAACTGTGAAGTAAACTAGTGAGCATAAGTATGGTTTCATAATTTATCTGTGAATTCAGAAGTATTGTTACATCTCTCCTCAATTAGCATTTACAAGGAACAGATTTCTTTCAGAGAGCTTAAACGTAAATTCTGCAGGGTTTCGAGTTCAGTCCCACAAATGGCAAATTTACTGCAAACATAGGGGTGAGTGGCTCTCTATAATAGTTATGCAGAGTAGGGCTTTTCCACAAAGCAGTACAAGATATTTTTATATTGCAGGTTTCCAGGGAGACAGTCACAATCCAGTAGAGGTTACTGTTGTCCTGAATAAAGCTCTTCAGAGCTTTGTAGTTTGTCATTTTTTATTATCACAAATACTTGTATTTCTAACACGATAGGATTTGATGTATGTCTGAGATGAAGTAGCATGAACCAACTTGACCGATTTAAAAAAAAAAAGTGTAAGAGACCAGTTTAGACCAGATGATATCAATACCACTAATCAGCCAGAATCATTGTCTTAACATCTGATACAAACCCATGTCTTCATCTAAGTACTAATCATTTCAAGGATTTATATAAAACAGCAACCTACATTTTAGCACTTAATATTCCTTTGGTAAGTTTGTGTGTATGGTGCAGCATAACTAGGGCAAAATAGGTACTTATTTTGTAAAAGATACTTTGTAAAAAGTGACCAGAAATGTGTGTTTTCTCAATACTTTTATTTTTTTAATTAAAAATGAAAGTGAAGAAAAGGATACTGTACTGTAACTTGAATTAATTGGTTATTAAAATTTCATTTACATTCTTCAGAAAATCAGATTAGTAACCAGAGATATTCTTAGTGAGATTTTAAAATAATTCTGACTATGTAAATATATTTCCCAATTTCCTTTTAATTGTAGATACCAATAATAGACAAGGCTGCTTACAGAGTAAAAGTGAAGACTAAGGTAAATGATTTTAATATGATTTTATAACAAATCAATAAGATAATAAATGAAATTGAATTGAACTAAAGACTTAGTTCGAGTTAACGTTTGACTGCCGCATGTAGCTGCGGGCAGTTAGTTCGGACTAAGGGGATTTAAAAATGGCGCCCAGACGGGAAGATGCAAATAAAGCCCGGGATATTTAAATCCCGGGCTTTATTTGCAACTTCGAATGCCTACATTAGCCTCCCTAGTTTGAACTAGGGAGCTAGTGTAGACATACCCCAATAGTACAAGGCAAAGCTCCTTCCACAATCCCACAGGGTATAGCTGCCCTGCATCGCATGAAGTATATATGTACTGAGATAACTCAGGCCAGCCACAAGTTTTAACTAACTTGGACTCATAGGGCTTTGGGAAGACTGGGCATCAATCTACACTGCAATTTTTACCACCCAAACCAGTTGACCCCAGTGACTTGGATTTTTTTTTTCACACAGTGTAAATATACTCTGAGGACCTGCGGCATGGCCATAACTGCTAGATGAATGCTTTGGCTGACAATCTGAGACCCCAGGAAGAGGGGCATGGAGGTGGCAGAGACCAAGTTCCAGCCTGAGCCTCTATGCTGCAATTTTTATCCCCACAGCTAGAACTCAAGCTAGCTGTTCTGGGACCCTGTGCCATGGGATTTCTTACTGGAGTGTAGACATCCCAACTGTATTGGGAGAGTTTGCTCTCAGACCATACAGTATTTCAGCACTGAACATTTTTTTATTAGTATTTGTACCCTAAACCTCTACAACACTTTTGGCCACTCTGGGGATGTGCTGCACTTGTGCTTTCCATTAGTATGCAAGATGGGCTAGATATTGCATTTCATACCCACAGAGAACTTGCTAAGTTTTAATTCACCACAGCCTCCCCTCAGCATCATCCCAGCAGATGCAGGGTCTTCTTACCTTGCAAAATATGCTGGCCTATCATGGCAGCTCTCTATTGATGGAGAAGAGGCCAGGTCCATATATACCCATAAGTTCTTTGCTACTGACCTGACTCTGTCTCAGTTCCCCTATTTGATAGTATGACTTTCATAGAACTACACGGATAGGGTCTTCTCCTGGCTATAACCCCTAAAAGCGGGCTCGGGGGAAGTTGATACAACTTTAAGGTATATTAAATCTTTGCTAAGTAATTTCTGCAGGGCCAGAGAGCAAATGAGTTGCATGTTTTTCCCCTCAGACTCACAGAGCATGGAAGGTGTAGGCTCAGGGTCATTGAACCCCTTTTGCACATGGCAGTTTTAGAGCATGATGTCTGCATGTTTGGGTTTCAGATAGTTAAGTATCCTATATGAACCACATTTGCTACCTTGTAAATGAAGTTAGTAAAAACCCTTTGTTCTTTAAGTTGTCATAGTGTAAATGCACAGCACAAACATCTTTTTTAGGAGAGAAAAAATTAGAGAAACTCGTTTGACTCATTTACCTATTTTATATGTATTTTATGCACAGTTCTGGACTCTGTCTCATTTAGAAATTAACTTTTGAGATTTCTCTCATCCCAGATTTTTATAAGCAATGTTTAACAGCCAGATACTTTCCTTTATTAAAAATGGTTTTCTTCGGTATGTCCAATTTTATATAACACTAAAATTAATTTCTTCGTTTTCTTAAATATTAATTGCAGTAAAATTAGTTGAGCATGATTAACGTAGCGGGAAGGATACCACAAAACTACAGGATACCACAAACTAGCGGGAAGGATACCACAAAACCATTAACATCTACCAAGTTTTGTAGGTAGCTTTGGAATTCATAGCTTGTAAAAGAGCCACTCCCAGATGGGTAGTTTTAACTAAACACTCCTTTGTCTCCACTTTCTTTTTATTGTGCTTACAGCAATGAGCTGCTGCCAATATTTTGACAAAGAAATCCCCCCAAAATCCACTTCCCACTTAGCCTGCTGTGAAGCCTGTGTAGCTGAGTGTGTGCTTGCAGAGAATAGGAATGAAGGACAAGGGAAGATAGTTATGCATTTTTCCATTAAAACAAAGATAATCGTAACCAAGAAGGGAGAGAATTCAACCTGCAATAATACAGTAAGTACACATGCCAGAAATACTTGTACTTTGTGCAGTACCAGCAGTACAGTTGTATTGTTCACGTACACACTTCAACTTTAATTTGAAAGGGGAAGGGCTAAAACTGTGGCTCTGATTCTCTTGCATAGCTGAGGCATGCACAGTCCTTTTAAGCTGAGTTCTCGGGCAGTCACACAGGAGAGATTCAAATGCTGCCCCACTGCTTAGCAGAGTTCTCACAGCTGACAGCATGTGTTCTACTGGTGGTTCACATTCACACATGCCTTGATGCATATAACAAAATTTATTCCACACATGGATGGAAAAATTAGAAGGGACAGTAACACATACCCCTCCCCAATGTGAAAGATTGGTTTCTGTCACCATTATGCTGGTCCTAGATTGATTGTATGTTGAGCTTGTGCCCTGCCATAAGCTAGAGAAGCCTGAAGTCTCCTCTAACGTATGTCAGCTGCCCAGGGCCCTAAGAGCAATGGTGATTACTGTGAGAGAATCACCCCAGTGTCTCAGATGCAGTGTAATGGTTCTTTACCATGCCCCTCCCCTGCATTCCACTGGTTTTCAGTGACACTGGAAAGCTCCTCACATGCTCTGGCCTTATGGTCGGTGTATGCTGGCAGTGGTGTAAAGAAGGCCCACTGCAGGCGAGGTTTTGGACCCCTATGTAATACAATACAGGCCCAACATCCAGTGCCATCCTTATGAATTCTGGTGCCCTAGGCAGCCCAAGCATCTGCACCCCTATCTCCTGCTGGAGAGAGGGCAGCAACTCTGAAGGGTGGAGGAGGGCTGTATGGACAGGAACAGGGCATAGAGGCTGGTGGGGGAACAGGCGGAAGGGGAAGCAGTGCAGCCCGCTAGAGCTGCAGGCTGGTGGAATATTGGAGGGCAGGGCTAGAGGATTGGGGCTGCCAGGGCCGGGTGCTGGAGCAGGGATCAGAGAGCTGAGGGCTTGGGCTGCCGGGGCCAGGAGGTAGAGCATGGGCTGGAGGGCAGGGAATTGGAGCAATTTGAGTCAGTACTGTCCTCAGCCAGCACTAGGCATAATCAACACAAACAAAGTACTTCTTGTGGCACAGTGGTTCCCCAAATTTAGTGGTGGTCTGTGACTGTCTAAGGACTGCCCTGCCAATATCCTTATCAGAGAACACTGAAAGTACTTGACACTTGCGGGAATTGAGGCATTCCAACAATGAAAACATGAGCATCAGCAGTAATTTCTGAGTCCAGGAATAAATCATTCTAGGCAGGGATGGATTTAAAATTAAGAGGGAGCTCTACCAGAAGTAGGGACATTTCCCCTTTCAACTTGATGATTTAATTTTAACAAGGGGCTGCCTAGATCTCCCTTCAGCACAACAAAGATTCATTTTTTGAGACAAAGCAGTACAATGGTGGACTGACATGGAAGGGGGAAAAAAAAGGCAATGCACTTCATTAAAGCTCAGATTTCATCCCCATCATCATCCTGGCTAATGAATACTAATGCAAAACGTGTAAACATTTCATGAATATGAGATCTGTTGACAACAGGATCTTAGGTACATGTTATGGAAATAATGTTTAAGTAGGAGGAAGATGTTCTAAATATATTGTACAATAATGTTTTCAGAAGTTTGGTCTCTTAGGGTACGTCTAAGACTACATGCTTCTTTCGAAAGAGATCGTCTAGACACCCACAACTTTTTCAAAAAACCGATCCACTTTTTCGAAAGAAAGCATCCAGGCATTCTGGATGCTCTCTTTTGAAAAAACCCTGTTTGCAGTCAAGAACACCTTTTTTTGAAAGAATTCTTTCAAAAAAAGGCATTCTTCCTCATAAAATGAGATTTACCACTGTCAAAAAAACACTGCTTTCTTTCAATTTAATTTTGAAAGAACGTGGTGGCAGTCTAGACGCAGGTGAAGTTTTTTTGAAAAAAAAAAAGGCCACTTTTTCGGAAAAACTCTGTAGTCTAGACGTACCCCAGGACTCAGTGCAAAGACCAGTTTTCTGTGTTGTACAGCACCTACCACAAAGGGGTGCTGGTCTAAGACTAGGGCTCCTAAGCAATGTTCCCTCTAATTTTTTCCATCCATGTGCAAAATAGATTTAGTTATACGCATCAAGGCATGTGCAGATGTCACTATCAATAGAAACACATTCTGCTGGCTAATTAACTGACTGGCATTTGACTCTCCCGGAAAGTCGCACAAGCTCTCAGTTTACAGGGAACACTGCTCCTAAGCCCTATTGCACTATATAGAATAGTAATAGAATAAAATTTCAGAAAATTATTAATGTTTTCTTTATGTTCAAAACTTTAATACAAAATTGAACACAACAGTTTCTTCCAATAATAATAAGACTGTTCTGCATGAGCAGTAGAAAAATGGCACCTTCTGGGTCTGAAGTGTTAAAAGTTAAAACTTAAAAAAAAACAGCTGTATAATAAGTGTATGGAAAGAACCTCTGGACATTTAAAAGTAACTAGTAAGCACTAAATGCTATACATACTAAGAAAAGAAATAGTTTGTCTTGAACAAAGTAGAACATCTGACTTTTTAATATTTTGTGGTTCAACATGGAGTCCATCTGTTAAGGAATGAGAAGCTCATATTTGGATACTCACTGGCTAACTTAGTGGAGAGAGCTTTAAACTAGGGTTGATGGGCGCAGGTGACAAAAGTCCACAGGTAAGTAAAAAAAACATGGAGACCTGGGAGAAGAGTCAGAACAGGAAGGGGGGGAAGGGTGTATGGACCTTCATAGAATGGACAAGGAAAATACAAGAGAACATGCAGGGTGGAGTGGAAACATCGCATCAGTATCTTATATGTCTATATACAAATGCAAGAAGTACAGAGAATAAGCAGGAAGAACTTGAAGTCCTAATTAACAAATACTACTATAACATAGTGGCAGCACATAGATTTATAAAATAATACAAATAATACACATGACACACATTGGAATAGATGGGTACAGCTTGCTCGGGGGGGGAATGGAGGACATCTTGCCTTACAATGTATAAACTTGGACTGAGATTGAGAAGGAGATAGGGAGTTCTAGGTAAGGTTAAATGAGGAGGGGGACCTGGATGATTTCATGGTAGAGGTCTACTACAGACTACCTACCAAGAAGAATGAGGAGATAAGGCTTTTCTAAAAACAAGTAATCATCCAAAATACAGGACTTGGTGGTGATGGGAGGACTTCAACTACTCATTCTCCAACTGATGTCTCTATGCCTGGCTGTTGTTTTTCCCCAACGTGTTCTTAGAATACATGGGAAATGATTTTTTTATTTCAGAAGGCGGAGAATGATACCCTGAGAGAGGCTGTTCTAGATTTAATTTTGGCAAATAGGAACTGGTTGGAAATTTGAAAGTGGAAGGCAGCTTAGGTAAAAGTGATTGTGAAATGGTACTGTTATGATTTTAAAGAATGGAAAACAGCACAATAAAGATAATGGATTGCAAGACAACATACTTTAGCAAACTCAGGGAGTTAGTAGGTAAGATCCCATGAGAAGCAAGTCTAAGGGGGAAAATTCAAGAGTATTGGCAGTTTTTCACACGGACATTATTAAAGGCACAAGAGCAAATTATCCCACTGTGTAGGAAATATAGGAAAGTGTTGTCCTACAAAAAATAGAAACTAGGTCAAGTTATAAGGATTAATATAAACAACTTTATAGGGACAAAATTAAACAAGTCAAGGCACAAAATGAGATTAAACTAGCTAGAAACGTAAAAGGTAACAAATTTTTTTCCCAAATACATTAGAAGCAAGATGAAGACCCAGAACAGGATTGGCCTGTTATTTAATAGGAGAGGCAACACACAGAAAATGTGGAAATGGCAGGAGTGCTAAATGACTGTTTAAATAAAAAAAGATAGCAGTGATTGGACTTCTAACATAGTGAATGCCAGTGAAAATGAGGTAGGATCAGAAGCTAAAATATGAAAACAAGTTTAAAAATACAGTAAAACTCCAATAGTCCGGCATCCAATAATCCGGCACTCCTGATAGTCCGGCATCAAAATGGCAAGAGCCTAGTGAGTGAGCTTTGGCAAAAAATGAGTCACAAGGTAACAGCGGCAGCAGCTGAACTGAGCAAAAAGGGTAAAAAAGGCTTAAAAAAACGAAAACATTACAGTATACTGTATACAGTATGTACAATAAAAAGGGTTAAGAACACTTTATATACAGTATATATATAACCAGTTTATAGTACCTCCTGATAGTCCGGCATATCTGATAATCCAGCACCACCTAGGTCCCATAGGTTCCAGATTATCGGAAGTCTACTGTATATAGATAATTTAGATGTCTTCAAGTCTACAAGGCCTGATGAAATCCCAGAATATCCAAGGAGCTGACATCTCCTCAGAACCATTACTGATTATCTTTGAAAACTCATGGAAGATAAGAGAGATTCAGAGACCTGAAAAGGGCAAACATAGTGTCAACATATAACAAAAGCAAATAAGGACTATCCAGGGAATTACAGTCTAATCATCCAGAAAGACAATGGAGCAAATAATTAAACAATCCATTTACAAACACCTAAAATATAATAAGAGGGAAAATAACAGCATGGATTTAAGAACAAATCATGTCAAATCAACCTAATAGCTTTCTTTGACAGGGTAACAGACCTGTTGAATAGAGGAGAAAGCGGTAGATGTGGTATCTCAACTTTAGTAAGGCTTTTGATACTGTATTGTATGACCTCATAAACAAACAAGGGATATACAATCTAGCAGGAGCTGCTCTAAGGTGGGTACAGAATATTTTGGAAAATCATTCTCAGAAAGTAATCATCAGTGGTTCACAGTCAAACTGGAAAGGCATATCAAGCGGGGTACTGCATGGATCAGTTCTGTTCAATACCTTAATCAATTATTTAGATAATGGCATATAAAGTACATTTGGGAAGTTTGTGTTCAGTTGTCCAATCCAAGATAGAAGAGTTGCAAGTGCTTTGGAGGATAGGATTAAAATTCAAAATAATCTGGAAAAACTGGAGAAATAGAAGTGAATAGGATGAAATTCATGAATGACAAATGCAAAGTACTCTTCTTAGGAAGGAACAATCAACTGCACTCGTACAAAACAAGAAATAACTGCCTAGCAAGAAGTACTGCCGAAAGAGATCGGGAGGTGATAGTAAATCACAAAGCAAATAGGAGCCAGCCAAATATGTTGCCAAAAAAAAGGGGGGGAGCAATCATCATTCTGGGATATATTATCAGGAATATTATAAGTAATACATGAGAAGTAATTATTTCATTTTGTTCTGCCTCAGCTGAATCATTGTGTCCAGCTCTCAGTGACATATTTCAGGAAAGATGTGGACAAATTGGAGAAAGTCCAGAGAAGAGCAACAAAAATAAATAAGGTTTAGAAAACATGCCCTGTGAGAGAAGACTGAAATAATTGTGTTTGTCGTCTCTTTTCAAGAATAAACAGAGGGGACATAACCGTTTTCAGTGTAAAAGGTTGTTACAAGGAGGAAGAAAAATTATTCTTAACATTTGAGGATAGGATGAGAAGCTTAAATTATAGCAAGGGTAGTTTAGGTTGGATATTAGGAAAAACTTCCTGGCAGGGTAGATAAGCACCAGAATAAATTGCTTAGAGAGATTGTGGAATCTCCATCATTGATTTTTAAGAGCAGCTTAGACAAACACTTATCAGGGATGGCCTAGATCAGCAGTTCCCAACCTTTTCCAGATGGGGACCCATTTTGACAATTCAGGTAGACTTGGTGAACCAGGGCAATTCAAAAAATGTGTGAATGGCTCCTTAAGAGCCACCTGGGGAGACACCCGGCAACCCTTTTAAAATGTAATGGCAACCCATATTTAGGTCCTAGGTTGGGAAACCCTGGCCTAGATACCACTTAGTCCTGCCATGAGTGCAGAGGACTGGACTAAACGACCTCTCAAGATTCCTTCCAGTCTTGTGATTCTACTCTTTCCTCAAATAATAAAACTTCTAAGACTGAAAATAAGGATGAACACGCACACTTGGCGTGCTTGGCAAAATAAGTGAAATTTAAGATTATAAAATCAAGATATTCCAAATAAAGTACTTAAAAGTATAGCCTTGCATTAGAGTCTCCCAAACCTTTAAGAAGTCCCAGTCACTCCTAGTTGGGAAAACTACACATGAAAGATAGAGCCCCAGCTATGTTCTCTTTTGGGGACTACATCTTTCCTGGCCCTGTCAGCCACCCAGTACAGAATTCATGGTGAAGTCTCCATGAAGCCTAAAGAAAGGGAGAGAATGGAGGCACCTGAGCTTTTTCTGCTCAGAAGGTAAAGGATCTGTGCGGAATGGTCCCTTCTGTGCACAGATCTCAGAGGAATAATCTGGGTCAATAGCTCTTGGAGACTGTAGGAAGTTAAGTTTCAAGTATTTGCATAAGAGTAATTAATACTGCTAGGCTTTAGTTCTTCCACATCTTTCAAAAGCTTTTGTGACTGGCCGTTAACAATAGGTAAACAATAGTTTACCTCTCTCAGCACTAGGAATTCACCTATATACACAAAGGCTGTGTCTACATTGGCACCCCTTTCCGGAAAAGGGATGCTAATATAGCACTTTGGAATAGGCAAATCCACGGGGGATTTAAATATCCCCCGCGGTATTTGCATTAACATGGCTGCCGCTTTTTTCCGGCTTTGAGGTAAGCCGGAGAAAAGCGCCAGTCTAGACGTGATTCTCCGGAAAATAAAGCCTTTTCCGGAGGATCTCTTATTCCTACTTGAAAGAAAGTTTTCTTACTTGAAAGTAGGAATAAGAGATCCTCCGGAAAAGGCTTTATTTTCCGGAGAATCACGTCTAGACTGGCGCTTTTCTCCGGCTTATCTCCAAGCCGGAAAAAAGCGGCAGCCATGTTAATGCAAATACCGCGGGGGATATTTAAATCCCCCGCGGATTTGCCTATTCCAAAGTGCTACATTAGCATCCCTTTTCCGGAAGGGATGCCAGTGTAGACACAGCCAAAGACACTTATATAGGCATTTGCACCGGGTAGATAAATTTCCTTTCAGTACTGTTTTTTTCAAAATTATCCCACGTTTACATTCTCATAAAGATCTCAGGGCCTAATTTTGTATCTATCGTAATGAGAACAGATGTTCTTGTGCAGACAGATCTTAGGGTGGTGCTGGGTCCTAAATGAGTAGATACAATGTGTAGAGCAGATAATAGCTGAACAAGATACACATATTCCAGACAAACACAACAGGAGCTGTCCTTTATCTCAAAACCAAATCGCAATATGTTGCCTTTAAAAATAATTGTAGCAAATCCTGATAAGTAGTCACAATTATTTGAACAAATGATGGAATTCCTAGTTCTTTCCTAATGGGTTTGGGGAGGGGGGGGAGGTTTCCATTGCACATCCACAACTAAAGGAATCATGCAAATGCATCTTCTTCTGTAGACTAGAGATTAACTTTTCCATGAAGAAATATCTATCACTTGACATAAATGGCCATACCTTTTTATTTGTAGAGGAGGAGAAAGGCTCAAGAAGAACAGATGATTCACCTATCTTACAGTCTGTTCCATACTAGAGAAATTCATGAAAATAAGTCACCTTTGACTCATCAGAAAGGTTTGTTTTTATGCAATAAAGTACTGTATATTGCCATTTGTCATTCTACTGGGAATTTAAAAAAAATCAGATTAGTTACTGTATATTACATGTACATTGTCAGATATTGGACATTTTATATTATTATAGCTTCAGTCTCCTGTATTCCTGCTAACCATCCTTAAAAATTCAGTCACAAAGGAAATCCTAGCTTATCTAATTTATCTTGTAAATGGGATTTGCAAACTCACTTTTATTTTCTTTATACACTTAGGCTACGTCTACACTGGCCCCTTTTCCGGAAGGGGCATGTTAATTTCAACTATCGTAGTAGGGAAATCCGTGGGGGATTTAAATATCCCTCGCGGCATTTAAATAAAAATGTCCGCCGATTTTTCCGGCTTTTAGAAAAGCCGGAAAAGAGCGTCTACACTGGCCCCGATCCTCCGGAAAAAGCGCCCTTTTCCGGAGGCTCTTATTCCTACTTCAAAGTAGGAGCCTCCGGAAAAGGGCGCTTTTTCCGGAGGATCGGGGCCAGTGTAGACGCTCTTTTCCGGCTTTTCTAAAAGCCGGAAAAATCGGCGGACATTTTTATTTAAATGCCGCGAGGGATATTTAAATCCCCCACGGATTTCCCTACTACGATAGTTGAAATTAACATGCCCCTTCCGGAAAAGGGGCCAGTGTAGACGTAGCCTAAGTGTATAAAGAAAATAAAAGTGAGTTTGCAAATCCCATTTACAAGATAAATTAGATAAAAGAATGTAACAAACACAGGACATCATGGCTATACGGAAAAAGGATATGTTTCTGTTTTGTCTCATATATTGGCTTGGAAGGAAAGAGAAGCAGTAATCAAATATGGACAAATTCACTTATCCCCAGTTTCTTCTTTCTTCTGTAGCTGGATGAGTGAGAATGTCAGAGTGAAGTTTAGATGGTCCTGCCTGGTGTTTGCCTGCAATATAAAGTGGAACACACTTACACTGAGACTATTATTGCTGTGAAGTAGAATTTTATTTTAATGCTCTGCAGTGTGTAAATTACAATTCAAGATATTAACCTCTGCTTATGAAGCTGTTCTCCAAAAAAACTCCTTCCTCTGACCAAATGTGGCTCCCCTTACACTCCCTCAACACACATATCAGTTGTTGTTAGACTTAGGATGTTAGGGAACAGGCTGCAGAAAGCAAAGACATCTCTACACCCTTCCTACACAATAGACCTATGTGTGTTCCAGGGGTTGGGACACATTCATAGATTTTAAGTCTGGAAGGAATCAATATGCTAATTTACACTGACTTCATATATTTAAAAAAACAACAAATGGTCTGGTAGCATTTTATAGACTAACAAAACGTGTAGGTGATATCATGAGCTTTCGTGGGCACAGCCCACTTCTTCAGATGACCAGTCATCTGAAGAAGTGGACTGTGCCCACGAAAGCTCATGATACCATCTACATGTTTTGTTAGTCTATAAAGTGCTACCAGACCATTTGTTGTTGTTTTTTCTTTAACAGACTAACTCGGCTACTGCCTGAAGCTTCATATATCTAACAAGCCAAAGAATTTCACCTAAGAAGTATGTGATCCAACAGTCAAATTCACACAAATGGGGGCTAAGGGGGCAGAGACTGAAGTATACTAATGGTCACAGCGTCTCTCTGGGCATGTCTACACTACAATGTTATTTTGAAATAAGGTGAGTATCTACACTGGAAGCCCATTATTTTTAAATTATTTTGATGTAACAGGCTTCTTATTCTGAAATAGTAAACCCTCAATTCATGAGGAATAACGCGTGACTGTGGACTGTGAAGCTGTGCTTATTTTAAAAACATTGGCCTCCAGGGTTTCTCACAGCTGCCCTGGTGGCCACTCTGTCTACACCCCTTAAAACTCTATAGTTTCCCTTTCCCTGCAGCCTTCAAAGAGCAGGCAGAAGGAGAAGTGCTTGTGGTCCCGGGTCGCATTGTGCCACACAGCAGGACCATGCACAGCCTTCCCTGCTGTCATGGCAGACCCCAGCACTCCCACCGAGCCCCCACAACTGCAAGCACACCAGCAGCCAACTTGGAAACCCTTGGTGGGGGGAGAAGAGGAGGGCATCCTCATGGAATGATCCTTTACTTTCCATATATGCACATAGGGAGAGGCGGTTGGGCTGCGAGAGGTGGCACCTCCTTGCTTGGCTATCTCAGCCTGTGGATCACACAGCAGTCTGTGCACGTGGAGTTCCAGTCTGGAACACTGAGCCCCATGAAGCTGCAACACAGGAACCTGTCACTCCTCATAAGGTTTCTGGAGAGGCCTGTTTTACTCCGGACTCCGTGGTGGGACACCTTCCCACCACAAGCCACCACTAAGGAGGCTGCAATCAGGAAACACACAGCAGTGCTTCACATGGCACAGGCTCATGTCCACGCTCTCTGGGCAGCATCCACTCCCAGTCAAGCACAGCAAGGTGGATGACACCAATCCCCTGCTGGGGGGAAGAAGTGGAGGGAAACCCTGTACCACCCTTCCTGGCAAGTGGCATCTGCCACTCACACAGACCTCCCACCCCAACACAGTTCTCTCCCTGTGGGATGCTACCACTGTCAGAACCAGTGTGTATGGGGCACAGAAGGAAGCTGAGCCCATCCCCCCTCTTTTCCACAGGTTCCTGGGACATTGGGGAAACGAGGCTCCCCTGGGATGTCCATGCCATTGCAGGAAAGTGCCCGCTGTGGCATGGCAGGTCGCATGTGAGTGTTCCATCACCTGAGAGCAAGGATGAGCCACTCACATGGCTCCACGAAGGTGTTTTTCTACATGTGGAAGTTCTGGAGCCACTGCTGGCCATCCTACCACTCCATAACGATCAGTCACACCAGTCGGTACTGGTCTCCCAATGCCAGAAGCAGAGGTGCTTAGTGTGGGGAGGAAGGAGGGATTGTGGTGCATGAGGAGTGCCCAGGCATGGGTGAAGAGGTCCCCCATTCCAGGCTGGTCATAGTCTTCAGGCAGTGCCATGAGGCCAGTTTGCATAAACTGCGCCAGGAGTTGCAGCAGCAAGTCTAACATCTGGTGACTGCTTTGTAGCAGGTCTGGCTTCATGGTAGGAGTGCTGTGGCATCCGCAAGGGCAACCAGCACATGGTGTGATGTTTGCTGTTCCTTAAAGAAGTAGACAAAGGTGAGACGTGGATGTAGAGGGGAGCCGCTTTAAGCACGAGCCTCAGCTAGCTTCAGGCAGGAACTATAGCAAGTGATTTCTGTCCTGATGCCCTGCCTGGAGTGCTTCCGGAGGGCTTTAAATGCTATTCAGGCTCCAATCACTGTGGACGTGTTATCTGAATATAGCTCTGTGCTATTTTGATGGGAATTTGAGGTGTGGATGCATAATTTCAAAATAGTTATTTGGGGAGTCGTTATTTCTGCATGTGGAAGTTCTGGAGCCGCTGCTGGCCATCCCACCACTCTATGATGCTCCATGATGATCATAACGATAACTTATTTTGAAATAACGTTGTAGTGTAGACATGCTGTCTGGTGGCATTCTGTAGCCTACAGAGTTTAACTCTTTTGGAGATTACTTCTTTAAAGCCTGATTATTGCACTTAAATCTCTGTGCAGGAGAAGGATTTGGGTCTATGAAGAGGTTCCATTGAACCACCAAATTGTATTGCTATTAAACTATAGATTTCAATGTCATCTCTCAGCGAAGGACTTTAACAGCAGCCTCATAGCCTAGATGCTTATAGGGTATGTGAACCGCCATATCAGAATTACCACTATACATGAACAACTTTGACTTTGATCTCTGGAACCTTACTAAAAAAAACGACCTGTTTGAACTGCCAAAGTGATTGACAAAAGTACACCATCTTTGGCATGCCATGTGTGCAGAAAATCTAATTCTGTGATTGTGACCAGAAGTGCTAGTTGTTAGTAAAAAATAGATATCAGCTTGATATCTGTATGTACTTTGCTTTATGCTAACATGTTACATGCATTTCAAGGTCTCTCTTTTGATGACAAATTAACATGCCATTATAGAAGTTGCTCATTTCATATAATGTAATGTGTCTTTCTACAGTTATGTAAATATACTTCTTTATATGATAAGTACAATTCAGATGCTAGTATATACTTCTTACTCGGTGTTTGATTAGATTATTTCGCAAATGTTGGGTAATTATTTGTATAGATATGAACAACAGTTATTGCTGATATTTTTTCTGTACAATATCAAGCCTCATGAAATGGTTATGAGTTAAGGCAATTTTGGAACCACAAGATAGAGCTTCATAATCCTTTTTATTTTCTTTTTCGCCTGCTGCACAATTAGGATTGAAAATCTTAACCTTCTTTAAAAAATATATACTCTTATGGTTGCTGGAATAAGCTTCAAATGTAGACACAGGCAGTGAAGTATGCTTGAATCAGTAGACAGCCTGCTGCAATATCTCTAAGATAAGGCTTGCCCATTAACAGCACATATTAACTCTGAAGCTTAATCGTGTGTAGAAGGCCATCATCATTAACTATTTACTACTAATTATTATAATATTATTATCAAAATAATTTACTTATCCATCATTGTAGGAAGGCATGGCAGATATTGAGATGAAATAAGAGGCCTCCCCATCCCATCAGTTTAAAGTCACCTCTGTCCCCTGTACATAAAACCAGAGATGCATTTTGAATGTCAACAAAAACATCCTCCCATGACTTACTACAGACAGTCCCTGGGTTACGTACAAGATAGGGACTGTAGGTTTGTTCTTAAGTTGAATTTGTATGTAAGTCGGAACTGGTACATATTGTAGGGGAAACTCTAGCCAAACATTTCTCCAGAGCTCAGTTTTATTCTCCCACACCTCACTTCCCTCAGTCCTTTATTCTCAAGCTGAGGTGTCTGCTGAGAAAAGCCGCTCCACGTCTCCCTGGTCTACTGGGGAGGGGGCGCTAGCTTCACATCTCCCTGGTCTTCTGGGGGGAAGCAGCTAGTGCTGGGTTGCCTCACCCCGTTTGTAAGTAGGGATCCGATGTAAGTCGGATCCATGTAACCCGGGGACTGCCTGTAGTTGCCAAAAGCTCCAAATGCCACTATCAAAACCTCTAGCTCACACACTCTCTCTCTTCCCTTCCCCCACACCCAACAGCTTCTACAACGTAAGTGTATTCTCAGTACAAATATTACAGCACACAGAACATACAGGCTACGTCTACACTGGCCCCTTCTCCGGAAGAGGCATGCTAATTTCGAACTTTGGAATAGGG